GGCCGGCCCATTGCCACTTCAGCTTACTAATCCGTTGGGCTATGTCGGTCACTCTGGTTTTACTGCCGATATCCTCATTTCCGAATCTATCACACAGTGAAACTCCGAGCATAGCCCTCTCCATAACTCGCTGAGCGACCTTGAGCGTCCTCATACTGCCAGCAGTGAAGGACCACGTCTCAGATCCGTAAGTCATCACTAGCAACACGCACTGGTTATAAACTTTAGTTTTCAGAAATTGAGGTATACCTGACGAGAAGATGTGTCGTAATTTCCCGAACGCTGCCCAGCCGAGTTGAATCCGTCGATTGACCTCTCGGTCGAAGTTGGACTTACCTAGTCGGACTATTTGTCCCAGGTAAACATACTCGTCAACAACTTCGAGCATAGTGCTCCCAACAACTACCGGCATAGGTGTGACATGGACATTAAACATGATCTTTGTTTTGTCCATGTTCATCTTAAGACCTATCCGTTGGGAGACACCATTGAGGTCATTGAGCATAGTGCTAAGGTCCTCCAGCGATTCTGCCATAAGGACTATATCGTCGGCAAATCGAAGGTGAGTGATGTACTCGCCATTGATGTTAATACCGTATCCTTTCCAGTCCAGTAGCTTGAAAACGTCTTCCAACGCAGCGGTGAAGAGTTTCGGGGATATAACATCACCCTGTCTTACACCTCTCTGCAGTTGGATAGGTTTCGAACTCCGGTTCTGTACTCGGATAGCCATCGTAGCCCTACTGTACAAACACTTCAGCACTTCGATATACCGACAGTCAACTTGGCACCGCTGAAGAGACTGTAGCACCGTCCAAATTTCGACGGAATCAAAGGCTTTCTCATAGTCCACATATGTCAGGCAAAGTGGCAGATTGTACTCTTCGGTCTTCTGTACAATCTGCCGCAGGGTATGTATGTGGTTTATGGTACTGAAGCCTTTTCGGAAACCGGCTTGTTCGGAAGGCTGGAAGTCGTCGAATCTGCGTGCGAGACGATTCGTAATGACACTCGAAAACAGCACGTAGACGCGGCTCAGAAGGGAAATCGGTCTGTAGTTCTCCAAGAGAGCTTTGTCGCCTTTCTTAAAGAACAAGACCACCGTGTTTCTGCTCCACGCCTCCGGAGTAGTGCCACCATTGAGGACGGAATTGAAGAGCTTCTGAAGGACTTCAAGTACCGGTGTTCCACCCGCTTTCAGAAGCTCCGCTGTAATTCCATCCTCGCCCGGGGCCTTGCCATTTTTAAGGTGGTGGAGAGCCATTCTAATCTCGCTCAGACTGACGTCCGGGATATCATCGGAATAGTGTCGGATAAGACTTGCTCTTGGATCGTTACTCACACTTGCGTGTGGCTCCAACGATGATGTGTACAGCTGCCCATAGAACCTCTCAATCTCACTCAGAATCTCAGGTGTCCCGGAAACGATGTTGCCACACTCAGTCTTCAGCTTTGAAAGTTGGCTCTTTCTGGCAGACAGATCTCTGACAAAGACTCTGGAGCCCTGGTTCCGCTCGATCGCTTCTTTAATACGAGCAGTATTAAAGTTGCGTAAGTCTCGCCGCATGCATTTGGAGATCTGTCTGTTCAGTTGCCTGTATGCTGTCAAATCTGTTAACGATTGCAGCCTCATCTCCCGTCAGTTTTTGTGTTCTTCTGCGGCGGGTCTTGCAGAACTTAGCTCCGACCGCATGGACAGTTTCCACGAGCTTGTCATTCATATAGTCCACTGCTGTAACTCGAGCTGAAAGGTTTCGGGATAAAACTGAATATATATGAAAACAAATCAAAATGACAATTAAATTAAGTAGAGTCAAAATAAAATTATTATTTATATTTAAATTATTAGTAAATAGAAATTAGAAAAAGTATTCTTGTATAATGATTTGTTATATTTACGCGAACACTATACATTTAAATAAATCTTTTACGGATTTAATCGCCTATATTAACTTATTTTATGTACCCGACGTTTCGAGCACTTTACAGCGCCCACGATCACGGGGAGGATTGAGGTGTTCGACGTCCCGATGTCATACGATTAGTTAACCGCGTTTACCCAGGGATTAAAATTATTTTATTTTATTCCGATCTACACAGTATGAACTTATAGTATCTTGAGGTATTACAGTTGTATGCTTGAGTTGGGATTAAATTTTATTAATTATGGGATCCCAAACAGGTGGTAACATTCGTGGCACTGTGGATTAGCAATGAGTTATGGCGCTGAGGGCCGCGAGTTTGAATCCCGCACGGAACGAGTATTGTATGGCTTACAAGTATTTTTTCTGGGTCTGGATATTCGTACTTATGAAATTTCTGTATGTAAATTGGCTCTACGATACATTAGAGAATCCTTGCGTGGGGGTAACGTCTTAAAATAAAAACTAAACTAAGACTAAAAACTAGCCGCAGTAGCTCAGAGGCGTAAGAGTTCCTTGTTAATTTCACATTACGCGAGCAACCCGGATTCGATCTCCGCCGGCACCAATGAAGTTGTTAATTGCAATTTAGGCGCTGATTTAACATGTGACCGGCGGTTAAAAAAACATCGTGAGGAAACCTGTGTCTGAGAAATAAGAAAAAATAATATTTTGAAGACATGTGAAGTTCGCCAACACGCATTGGGCCAGCGTGGCGGACACTTCCTTGCCCTAAAACCTTTCAGAAATGAGTGGAGGCCTGTGCCCAGGACTGGGACGTATATAGGCTGTAACTTTTAACTTTTTTAAGAAATAATTATATACTATTTCATGTGAAGTCCGTCAACACGCACCAGGGCCAACGCTTCAGATTGTATTTTACAGCAGATAAAATATGAACCTTGTAGACTTCACTACTTTTTAGAGTAAAATTATAAACCATGTTTTTTATAAAAAATAACAGCGGCGGTATAGGAAAACATTGCGACGTAACCTGCATGTAAAGTCTGCCAGTACGCATTGGGGCAGCGCGGCAGATATTCCTTGCCTTTAACCCTATCACAAATGAAAGGAAACCTCCATCTGTGGGACGTATACAGGTTGTAACTAGGTAACTAGTAAATATAAAATTCTTCCGAGGATAGTTTTTTTTTCCGATCCAGTGGTAAGGCATGACTTTCAAAGAGTATTCTATATTAAATAAAAATTATACTATTCTATTCTATTCTCTTCTAACGACAGCAGCCTAATAGCGGGATGCGTAATGGTGGGTTCGAATCTACCACTCGACTACTGTCGTAAACAGAACTCAAGCATTATTTTTAAAACGTTACCCCCACACTAGAATTTTCTCCTGTATCGTGGAGGCAGTTTACAAACATAAATTGCACAAGGACAAACATCCAGACCCTGAAAAATTACTTGTGGCCCATACAAATACTTGCTCCGTGCGAGATTCAAACCCGCGGCCCTCAGCGCTGTAACTCATTGCTAAGCTACTGTGCCACGGAGCCGTCATTTTAAGTTTACTTGGTTGGTTAAAGGGAGTATTAAAAATGTTAATATATAGTGGCATTGCGAGTATTTTTTAAAATATTCTATAACTATAAGTTGTCTTTTGAGGCTTTTTAGATATTTGAGTCAGAGGAAGTCTATGTTCAATGATATAAAAGTAAAGTTACAGCCCATATAAGTCCCACTGCTGGGCACAGACCTCCTATCATTTCTAAGAGGGTTTTAGTGCAATGAAATGTCAGCCGCGCTGACCCAATGCGTGTTGACGAACTTCACATGTTTTCGAAATATTTTTTTTTATTCCTCAGACATGCAGGTTTCCTCACGATGTTTTCCTTTACCATCGAACACGTGGTAAATTAGCACTTAAAATGTCGATTAACAATTTTATTTATTTAATTTCCGACGGGGATTGAACCCGGGTTACTCGCATACCGTGATATTTACACAAAACAGTAAAAATGTCCATCTTCGATTAGAATGGAATAGGATATTTTTGCTTAAAATTATCATGTGTTGACGACTTAAGAGAATCCCTCTCGTAAGTGTAATAAAAAATACGTGTGCAACAATTAAGAGTGAAAAAAAACACTTTGTGTGGCAGAAAAAAAAAAATTTTTTTATTTAATAAAAAAAAAATTATTTTATTAAAGCACACCACCACACAAAAACCCCCTCCACCCCGTCCGAACCACCAAAACAAGGTTCACCCGGAAAAGCAACCATGGAAAAGACTCGAGAAACTCCTCAGGTCTCCGATAGATGGCGGTTTTACCATTATATCCTACCAAACGTAACTGTGATCCTAGTTGCCTGGCTTGGCAAAAAAATTTTCATGTTTTATTTTGAGTTATGCATATTTCATATTCATGTTAGTCAGGAATATGCTGCTGTCCACCTCCATCCACTCTTGTTCCCTCGTGTTGCCTCTTACGACATCCACGGGATGATATGGGGTAGTGGATATTCTTGAATTATGTCATTAAATGTCAGTTTACTATATCGTATTATGTGTAATAGCTAGACCGGTATTAAAATGCAGCATTTATAGTGCAAAGTATCTACTTGATAACACGATCGCCAATCCGCGGGCCAAGCTTGGCGATTATAACAAACTTATGTCTTTTTATTTACCCGATAACTATGAGTGCGAATAAACTAAGCTATTTTCGTAAACAAGTCGTTAGGTTTAAATTATTAAATAATTATTCTTTTTAAAACCTTAATTAAAATCAATTTCAAATATTAATCTATTTGCGACATAAATATAACAATAACATTCGATTACGACCAATAGAAATTTTATCTCATTACCTTACGATTTTTTTCTCACACTACCTCATTAGTAAATTAGTTTCAAAATAAGACAAACATGTCCTTCCCCGAATACAAACTACGTTTTTACTGATAAACAAACGAAAAGGACGGCGATGTTTATTGAAACTGTCATATATAACATTTAAAGATACCCTTGTACTACAGTCATTGACTAACTCTTGGTGTGATCACAGTGTGCTAAGTAGATAAGTAGTTACATTAATACGTAAGGTAAAGTCTAACACAATGAGTGCATTACTTGACGCTGACGCCATTTTATCCGACCACGAAGAATGGATGAAGCTGGACGAAGAATGGGGCAATCCAATCGACCTGGATACCGAAGATGACCAAGCACCGTATCTAAGATCTGTATTTAGCACGTTAGATTTGATGAAAACTACTTTCGACTCCTCCTTTCTCTTCAAAAAGGTTAGGAGGAAGGTTGGAAGAAAACTATCAAAGCGATCGGCATCTTCTTTTCTCGATTACAAAGACTTTTTGAACGATATGCAGAAAGACGCGACGAGGGAGTCATCGAAGCAGTTTTACTTCGTCAGCGGACAGATAATATCTGCAGTTTCGGTTGAGGAGATATGTGATAAGATTGACAACTATTTTAAATCAATTGAAAAACTCGCCTTCACAAGTACCATCCGAAAGAAGAAACCTGTTCCACCCGAAGTCGTGAAGTGCAGTATTTCTAGTGAGGACTTTTCGTTCGACGACACAGAGGTGGGTGTTTCGAGTACAGAAAAAGGAGATACTAGTGAACTGAATCGATTCATTGATCAGGCTTTTGATAACTTCAATTCGTCAATAGCCTCGATGGAGAATATCGATCAGTCGACTCGAGAATCAGTAACTACGCTGGTGAGGAAGTTTAGCAACGTAATGAAGAGCCCGATGAACTGCAGTCCAAGAAGAAAAAGGCAGTGCTGTGAAAAGTTTAGAGATCTAGCCGAATTCTGGAAGAAACGAGCTATGGGTGTTGCATCTTAGAATCATAGTTTTAATCAATGACCATTACTTTAGGTATATATTTCACTATAATTGTATACCAAATTGAATTTCAAGTAATATAAATAATTTATTTCAATAATTGTAGGTAATTTATAAAAATATTAACTGGAGTTGTTACTTTTATTTCTATTGCTATAAATAACGCTAATGTAATAAATAATGTTTGTTTGATGATGAATAAATTCTTAATAAACTACAAAACATTATTTTAATAAACAAAAATAAAACGAAATAATTTGAGTTTTGTGTTATATTAAAGAATTATATTTTCATACATGATCCTAGTAAAGGGATATTGTTTGTTTACTTATACACAGTAAATATTTTTTAAACGTTATTATTTATTAAACAGTATAATTTTACACTGTATTTTATATAAAACAATAAGAGGAAAAGCTACATTTTTTACGTTAATAGTTTCTGCTTTAATAAATAATTAAATTGCTTAATTTTTTAATATATAACGTTTTAAGTAAGAACACATACATTCCTACAACTCTTTAAAACTGGTATGTTATGTTATTGAATGATTTTTTTACAATATTGAAAAGTAATCCAAATTACATAAATACCCACAGATATATTAGCGCTTAAACATAATTTAAAAATAAACTTAGTAGGTAACAATTTTCATCAGAATATCTTCTCTATCTTTTATTGATTTATAATCTCCTAGTACAAAACAACAGCTGGGGCGGAGTAAACACCTATTAGTTAATTACCTGAAAAGCGCACAACAAATAGAAATTCATGGTTCATTAGGCAAACAAACATGGCGTGGCTCCATAGGACCTAACAGGCCACGGTCCAAGTTGGACGCTAAATCATGACCAGCGCCTGTGGACCTCATGCTTTAGAAACATACGGATTGAGATACGGAAGGTAACGCAGCGAGTTACAATCATTAAAACTAGCTAAGCCGTAAATATTTATTGGAATTTAAAAAAACACATTCTAGACATCAACTTAATATGTTGCTTTTGTATATGATTTAAATGCCTTAAAATGACGAAGTTATAATTTAATTAATATTCCAACGCACTAACGCTTCTAGCCGTCGTCTTAACTTTAAAAATATCATTAATCTGGAAACACATTTTTCTTGCTTTAAGGCAACTGCTGATGTTTGATTACACGTTAATTAGAGAGGCACTAACCTGTTTTATTTATTTTATTTACTCACTCGTCTTTACCTAGGTTTCCAGTGTTTAAAGCGTTCGTTTTGAACCAATTTTCAACAACAACATTCAGACTAGAAAAGCGTTATTTGTGTAGATGTATAAGCATTAGCACCGTGTAATATTTGCATTTAGGACTTGTAGCCTGTTACACACTGAAATTATCTTAATGCTACATGTACCCATTATGTACAGTATAGCAAAGGCCACGCGTGTAATAATCGCCCGTGTGCTATCAATATTTCGCGCACTGACCGTAAGCAGGAACTTATTCGGGTTGCTCATGAGAGTTGGACAGTTTGTCAATTTATGAGCCGGGCACAATGGAGCGGGTACGATCGGACTGAAGGCAGATTTTGTTAATTGAGTTATGTAAGGCGAAGTGTGACGCCAATACGTGCTTAAATTAACTTCCGCGTAGCCGACGCTGCTTCACGTACAATTATAATAATATAACAACAATTCTAAGCATTTCTTGATCGATAAAGTTGTAAGAAACGTCAAGAAATAGTAAATCGGCACCATATTATAGAATCAATTTTGTTTTTACAATATTATAATAACTAGCAAAATAATTCAACATAATATTATAAAGATGAAATCAAATCAACAATGTTTAGCTTAACTTTTTTACACAATAGGGCCAAGCTGCAGCTTTATTATGGTTGTAATGGGTCGGCTTGACCGGAGTAAGACCAGGTTCTCACAGAATACGAACGAAAAATAGCAGCTTTATGCTGCTGTGTTTCGTATGGTGAATGTAAAGAACCGGAGACTTTTTACTGGAACCGAAGCATTTCGTCTTCACGCGGGACTATGTGCTCGTTTGCCACTACTATTCTATATTTTTAAACTTATTGTTTTGGACAAAATAAATATCTATAAAATAACAGAACTAAAATAATTAATTAATTTAAATTGTAAACATACATTAATATTAATCCTTTTTATACTTTCGTTTATGAATATGATATTATCATTATCTATAAAAGTCATAGTCAAAAAAAGAAAAAACCTTCCCATAGACTGCCTGCATAATTACCGTAGTAGCCACGTTTGTCGAGCTGGTTGACAACCGTGTTTTTTTTTTTTGTTTTTGGGTAGATGCTGCAAGCCACCTCCTAGTTTGTTTACGATACGAACTATACTCATGAAACGATATGTGATAGTCGATATTCTAAAACCGATACTACATGGTGAAGATTATATATTTAAAGGATAATTAATTTCATATATTGTCACAAACGTTATAAAGCTAAAATCAAATGATAATAATGATATAAATATTATCATTACTTTACTATCCGTCCAGTTACAACGAGTATGTAACGAATTTGATTGGACTTAAGGAGATAATTCCAGCTGAAATTTGCAGCATTGCACCAACTGTCTAATCCAATACATCCAACACGGACGACAGACATATTATAGCATGGATACTGGCCACCAATTAGGCATCCCCAAGTCCGTTCAAGTAATCAGACGCAAGAAGCATACGTTGCGGTTGCCGCTCGACCAAAGAGCTGTAAACTTACTATGTTAGGTGGCAGCACTGTACGAAGTATGCTCGCTAAAGTGGGTTTATCAAGTCAAATATAATCCGGTCCAGTACTATGTACATAAATGTTGAGATTTGTGATAATCGGTGTTAATTATTGTATTTTATTTTAAAATTGACAAATCAATACTTTTTCTTGTATTTTGACAGATATATTATATGGCCAGTAACAATAAGCGGACAGTTATAAAAAGAAATAATAGTAAAAAGTAAAACTATCTAAATGTAAAGCCAAATACTTTCATGCTCGACTGAAAGACATGAAGTTATAGTGAGCTGAAGTTATTTTTATTAGATTTTTAAAACGAAGGTCATTATGGATTCATTTTATATTGTTTCATGTTTGTACAAAAGATAAATGAGATGTGGGCTATGGGGTGTTCTATAAGTATGTCGCAGTTTTATTATAAAATCAGGTTTTTAATTAAAAACCTTGCCTTTTGAACAAGAACCAGAAGAAGTCAAAATGATTACTTAATGTTATCATTAACCTAAAAAAATCTTGTTTTGATCAAAAACCTGAAATTATTTAGATTTATGATAAAATTTAAGCTTAGGTTAGATTAGGTTATTTAATTGTATTATTTATTTAAATAATAGAATTTATCATAAAACTAAATCATTCTAGGTTTTTGATCAAAAAATTGATTTTCTTCAGTTTGTGATAACATAAAGTAGTAATTCTTTCTTCTTCCGGTTCTTGATGAAAAGCCTAGTTATTTGATCAAAAGTCAAGGCTAGATCTAATTTTTAAAACTTTATGGAGCAAATAGAACGCCGCGCATCTAGTGTGTTTTTGTGAACTTCACATATCCTCGAAATAATTTTACATTCCTCAGGCATGCAAGTTTTCTCACAACAATTTCTTCACCATGGATCATGTGGTAATACGGCATTTAAAGTTGCAATTTCACTGATTCCAGCGGAGATCGAATTCGGCTTGTCCGCGTGCTGGGAAATTTATGGCGTGCTTAGCGACTGAGCTACCAGGGTTCTATGTTTGTACAAGATACTGCTTAACGTCAAAACAGATTTCATTCTGGGTGGATTGCAGATAACGAAGAAGTTATTTTTTTAGTACTAGGATTCACTCCAGCATCGTAGAGGCAGTTTACATGATTAAATTTTAAAAAGACAACCATCCAGACCCGGAACAATTACTTGTAGGCCATACAAGTACTTTTTAATGCGGGATTAGAACCAGCGGCCCTCAACGCTGCAACTGATCGCTATGATACTGCGACGCGGAACTGTCCGAATCATAGTCAACACACAACGGGTATTCTTTCTGACATACTATTATCTGAGTTCAAAAACTCGAATGTTGTACTTCAACAATAAAAGTTTTTTTTTACTAGAAAAAAATATTTATTTACATAAGATTTAAATATGCAATTTTAAAAAATCAAAGTAAAAATTACTAAAGCTAAACGCTTAAATTAACATACATACAGTCCTACTCCCCGTGGTACAGTGCCAAGAACGCTGGCTGCGTTTCCTCGCTGAATGGCTTTTATATTGTCTAAATTACGCTAGATATACCTTGTATTTTAATATTCCAAAATATTAAGAGATATCTCTTCCATCCACATTTTTAATAGAATAAGGGAGACAAACGAGAACACAGTCTACCTGATGGTAAGTAGACATTGTGACCCATAGAAATCTACATCTACCCTCGATTAAGAATCAAAATGCAGGTGTTTTGTCACCCTTGAGGACTAAGATGAATTAATTCGTCCAGTCCCGGATCTCCGGTTCTGTACGACTGACCATACGAAACGCAGCAGCATTACATTACGCTGATATTTTACGCTGGTATTCTGTGAGAGCATGGCCCTACCTCGGTCGAGACGACCCATTCGTGCTACAACTATAATATAGCTACAGCGTGGCTATTGTAGGAAAGATTTACCTACTTTAATCGTTACGCAGGCAAATTGACTCAGATTAGTCGCAGTCGCAGTCTACTTACCATCAGGTAGACTGTGCGCTCGTTTGTCACCCCAACAGCTGCATAAAATTTATTTCTATTTGGATTCGAGTACAGAGTATAAATATCTGACAGATCTACGCTGCAGCTATATTATAGTTGTAGCACGAATAGGTCGGCTTGACCGGGGAACGACCACGCTTTCACAGAATACCAGCGTAAAATAGCAGCGTTTCGTATGGTGAGTATAGAGAACCGGAGACCCTTTTTACTGGAATCGAGACATTCCATCTTAGTCTTCAAGGGTGAC